TAATGACATCCCCTGTAATTTTTGCTTCCCACCAAAGCATCAGCAGATTTTATATTTGGCAAAAACAAATGCTTATGCTGGTTTTTTTAGAGGCAGATGGCTATCACTAAACAGGTTTCCTTGCTTTCCTGGCTTTATCTTCTCTAGACAAACTCATGGTTTCTCTCAGATATGCAGTTTCCACTGCAGTAAGGCATGATACAAGATTTTATTTTGAATTTTTCGTTGACTCTACTTGTCAAATGAGAAAACAGATAACATGGTTCTGCCTTGAGCCCCTCTGCAGGTCTGCTGAGGATGCATTTATTTGATTCATACCTCTATGAAGTCTCAGAGGTTTTAGTAAGAGCATCTAAAATTTAAAACCTGCTGCACTTTAAGTTAACATTCAGCATTTTTTTCAAAAACAGCATGGGATTTCAATTGAATAACAGGATGATATATTTTGGACTATACTTATTATGTTGGCTGATACCCCTGGAACTGAACAAAGAAGAACTCAAAAGAGCAGCAAAGTGAACAGATCTATTACTTTGAGTGCACAATTAATCTTGCTGACATTATTTTATATGAACGTGGATAAAAATGCCTGGAAACCACACCATTGAATTCCTCTGCTCATTAATATTGATCAAATGTTGTTGTTCTCTTTGTGTTGGAAGCCACTTAAAGATTACCTGTAAAAGTATTACAACACTATTGATTTACAAAAAACCCAATCAATCCCTGAAGTCCACTGTTTTTGAAAATTAGTTGACATATTCAGTTAGTTATTTTGCTGGTTTCTTTGGGGGTTTTTTTTTGTTGGGTTTTTTGTTTGTTTTTTAGGGGGTTTTTGTTTGCGTTTTTTTGTTTTTGGGGTTTTTTTTTTTGGTAAAAAAATATATTTGTGGACTCACTGCTATAGATCTGAGTAACAGACCATATTAATCAGGCCATCATAGAATTAATTATCCAGAATTTAACACCATGTTGTTTAAAAGCCTAGACATCCCTATGGAAGTTGGCTGGGATGTCTCCGCATGGGCCATCTGAGCCCAGATCTTACACACTGCATTTTTGGTGCTTCAATGGAATGATGGCAGGATTAGGCCCCAGATCCTTCCAAAAACTTAAATCTGCAGAAATTGAATCATTGGGTCCTGTAGACTCAGTTAAAATGAATTAATTAACTAATTAATTAATTTTGAGGTATCATATTAGGGTGTTCATGCAATTTAAATAAGCTCAAGATGTGTGAACTTAAATTTTGGTCCTTTGAAGAATTAGGAGAAGCAATGATAGGGTGGCACAGGCTTTTTAATTTTCAATCATTCATTCATTCATTTCAAACATAGAGTTAGTCTGACCGATGTCTTTATCAATTAATAAATGTAAATTAGTCAAAACTATGTCACTGTAATTTTTTAATTTGAGCACAAATAATGACAGTGTTTTGTTGCTCTAAAAATAATATTTGAACTACCAGTTTCTATGAATAACAAAAACAAAAGCAAACAAAAATACCCAAAGCAACATACACAACATTTATATTGAAAGTAGTCATATTATTTGTCCATAACAACCATAATCAGAAAAAAAAATCATATTTTTGGTGTGTGTTTTGTTGTTTGTTTGTTTTTTTTTTTTCCAGAAGAAAGGCTTCATAAAAGAAAAACATTAGCTAGAAATACTCTCATGCACCAGTATATTTATCACTATGCACCTCAGATGACCTTTTAAGCCTTTGCAGTTTGGACAGATCTGAGAAAATGCAAAATATAAAGAAAATCTATGAAAGTAGGCTGAACGTGTGCTTAACAAGCCATACAGAGAAAGCAAAAAGCAAAATGAGAAAGTAATTATTAAGAGATTTATTGTTCTTGGAAGATTAGAGATCTTGCCTGCATAGAAACAATTAACATATGAGGCTGCCTGCAGGTACTCCCCAAACTGCAGCACTGTGATAGAGGCTTGGAAAAAAAAATACACAATTCATATTTATTGGGAGGCTAGAAGTGCAAATTATTAGACAGGTTTCTTCCCAAATTATTATGAAGGAGAAATAGCATGAAGTAGTAACACTTGAAAGACACAAATCTTCCCAGAATTAAGAATGTAGGGTACCACTACTTTTAAATTGTAATACAGAGTGTGCATGGCAAAAGGCAAATCAGGCAGCAGTCACTCTCCTTATTTTCACCTTCAAAATTTTTGCCCTTTTTTTGCTAATAACACCATTTGGAATTATCTGCAGTACATTCATGTCCATTATTTTTTTGGTTCAGTGAGACATATCCATGTTTAATGATGTACACAAGCAAAACCTCTGCAGGGCCGTGTCTTGGAACAGGCTGATGGCAAAAGTTGTAATAGAAATGTGCACCTGCGTGGCTTCTCAAAATTGCAATAGCCACATGGCAGTAAAAACTGGGGAATATGTTCTGACATCCTCATCATTCAGTTAATTTTTACACTTTGCAAATTAATATTTGCTTGGAGAGCGCGGCGTTCCCTGACGTGACGTCTGGATGAATGGAGCTGCTGTGAGGATCTTTCAAACCTGGGCTTGTCATTGAAAACACGAACAGGCAGACATGCAGAAGCATTGAATTTACAGATCGTTGAAGTCTGAATAATTCTTTTTGTTCATTTGTTGGCTCCCTAAGGTGACTTGTCAGGTCTCACCAACCCCCTGGAGCCCTCCAGGCTGGGGCAGAGGGGCTGGGAAGCTGGGACAGCCCTGGGGGTGCTGTGGTGACGAGGTCTCTGGTGTTGAGGCGACCCCCAGGTGTCAGAAAGTCTCTTTTTTCCAGCCAGACAGGAGAAGTAGCATCTTGAAAAGTTCTGCTTTTCAAGGTTGTTTACTTTCTCTTATCTATAACATTCTTTGTCTGACCCGTCCAGGTCTGTCTGGCAGGTTGGATTGTGGCCTGTCTGGCAGGTTGGATTGTGGCACACTGACTGCCCTCAGGGCAGTGTTATCTTTTTATACTGAAAACTACGTGTACTTTATTTACCATATCTTCCCAATACATATCACCTATGTTAGACAGTGAGTTTCTACCCAAATCCAATCCAAAAGTGCCACCATCCCAGCAGAAGATGGAGGCCAAGAAGAAACAGGAGGAAGGACAGGACAGGCCCAGATTCCTCCATCTTGCCTCCTGAACCTCCATTCCAAAAACCCCAAAATTTTCCATTTCCACCCTGTGACAAAGTCACTAACATTCTACTCAAACCCTTGTGGCTTGTAACAAAGTTGGTAATTGTTGTTTCCATGGGTTGCAGTCGAAGGCCCGGGTGTCTGACTCCGTGCCCAGGTCTCTGCCCCCTGGCAGGCTCTGAGGGCAGCCAGAGCCATGTCCTGTGTGCCAGCCCTGTGCCAGCAGCCGGACACAGCCCAGGGTGCCCGGGGCCCAGAGGCCGATGGCCCCGGGGCTGTGCCGGCCGTGCGGCGGCAGCAGGAGCGGGGCAGGGCCCGTCCCTGGGCCGGCCCTGCTGAGGCCGCACCTCGAGGGCTGCGGCACCTCCGGGCCCTCGCACGGGCAATGGAGGGGCTGCGGCGTGGCCGGGGCAGGGAACGGAGCTGGGAAGGGAATGGAGCCCCAGGAGAGGCTGAGGGAGCCGGGAAGGGGCTCAGCCTGGAGCAAAGGAGGCTCGGGGGGCCCTTGTGGCTCTGCACAGCTCCTGCCAGGAGGGCACAGCCGGGGGGAACGGGGACAGGAGCAGAGGGAACGGCCTCAGGCTGGGCCAGGGCAGCTCAGGGTGGGCGCAGCAGGAATTTCCCCATGGAAAGGGGGCTCAGGAGCTGCCTTGGCACTGTCCAGGGGGGCTTGGAGTGCCCAGCCCTGCAGGTGTCCCAGGAAGGGCTGGAGGTGTTCTGGGTTGGCGGCAAATTGGGCAACAGGTAGAACTTTGACTTGATGGCTTTTCCAACCTCTGTGATTTTGGGATTTCAAAATTTCCAGCTGTGATTGTCAGTACATTATGCTCTAGATTTCTTTTCTCTTTTGTTAGTTTTGGGTATTTTTTTCCAAATGCAATTGAAAGTGACATTGTGTTTCAGCAAACAGTGGTTTTCACCTTTCAGCGTACACAGCTTGCAAATAACATGTATTTTATTGAATTTACAAATCAAGACAAACTTGCACGTGGGGCTTTCTAAACAATGTTTACCACTTCTTTAAAATGAGATAGGGAAAAAAAAATCATCAAAATAATGTTTTCTTCTGGTAGGAGTTGTGCTGGGGGTAGTGTTAGTAAGACATTATAATATAAGTAGCTCTTTTCCAGTGGTGTTCAATGAGTAAACTTTGGACCTCAGGTCAAACAATTCCATTTTTCAAAGGTACTTAAGGTTATAGTAATTGCAGTTCTAGCAGATCTCCATGCTGAAACTTTATGCGTTCTAGCATGTGGTGTGTTGGGGAAAAAGAAAATTTAGTCAGAAGAGCTTTATCAAACCATCTTGAAGTGGCTACAGAGGCACTGAGTGGAAAAGAATAGTTGGCTTGGTAGCTGCTAACTACTGGCCCAGATACTCACATTTCAGAAAGTCACCCGGAGCCATAGCAAAGATCTCCTCAGAATGCTAACTTGGCATGTAGTGATCATTCAGGGACATTGTACATGTCACTCTGTGCATGATAGGCATGTTTGATTAATACCTATTCCCTCAGTGGTGCAAAAACTAGAATGCCTGTTATCTTTAACAGAAGAGCAAGATTTAGCCTCGCTGTCTCCTGTCTTCCCTCACATTAAAAACTAATGCCATGATTAATGAGTAGTGACACGCTTCATATTTTTTTTCTTGTTCATAAAAATCCTTGCTGGCATGTTATCTGAAGTAAGTGAAGGGTGTATTTTACTGAGTTAGTGGAATATAAAGGCCTGCGTAAGGCATTTTATTTCTTTCATGAATGTTTATAAATGACTGAAATTATTATGGTTGTTATGGTGGATGTGTACATACTTCTCTCTCTTCCTTTCTTTTTTTTCCTTTTTTTCCCTTCTCACAGGACCCTGCCTCCCCAATCCATGCCATAATGGTGGGATATGTGAAATTAGTGAAGCATACCGAGGCGACACATTCATAGGCTACGTTTGTAAATGTCCACAGGGATTTAATGGGATTCACTGCCAGCACAGTAAGTTCCACATGGTAAATTTTATTGTATTTATAGATAGGAGCCTTTTTATTGCCTGCACTTTAAGGATTAATATCGGATCTGGTTTTCTGGAGTATATCAGACTTTGGCCTTTATATTATGAGCAAGCTAATACCACCGAATGCTGCTGCTGCTGCCTTCAGAAAATGACCTGACTACCAACCCACTGGACACAACAGGACATGATTTGCTATGCATGTTTTATGCCATGGCAAGGACAAGGTAAACGTATTTTGCAGGGGTTTAATACAAAAGCGTATTTGAAATAGAAGGACTATCTTCTTATCTCAGTAGTGTTTGTGGGTTTGCTTTGATTAATGCTAAATAAAAAAGGGGAAAAACCCTGAATTTCTGAATAAATGTCTTTTACATCTTTCTTTAGCTATGTCTTTATAAATAATGAAGAAATATTTTGAATCACAGTATCTAAGTTCAAGAGCAAAATCTCCAGACTTACATCATTTAACCCTGTTTAAAATACAGTTTCTTGATCTTTTTCTAATCTTTTTCATTTATTTGGAGAGTATTTCCTACTTTCACATCAGATTTGGAACAGCAGGTCAGTATCCTCATCTTGCAGTGTGTAGGTAGAGAACTTACAATGAACCACATGGGGAAAGAAATTTTGGGTGTGCTGGATTTAGCAGGAGCAGAATTAAATGTCTTCACAGTAGCTGGTGTGGGCCTGTGTTTTGGATTTGTGCTGGAACCAACATTGATAATTCAGGGATGTTTTAGTTACTGCTGGGTAGAGCTGACTGAGCAGTCATATGTTAACCTATAAATGTAGTCTGTATTGTCTGTTAATTTAATAGAAACTGGTTTGTTTTTTTTCACATGCAAATCTCATTTGAAACAAGTGCTTGCCTGAGGAGAAGCTCACGAGAGAAATTTTGGGGTTTCCATTTTGTGCATGAGTGGTTCTTGAACCGAGAACAGCATGGCTCTTTAAATCTTACACTGTTGATGCATTTGGAAGCCAGCTGTTACAGAAGGTAAAAAACTCAAGGAAATAGTCAAGAATCCAGCTCCACTCACATGTAAAAATTAGTTCAGTTATTCAGCTCACAGTGACTAAGCACTGAATCCAGCCTGCCTGAATTAATTGCTCCATTTAGATACCTGCCTATAATTTGAATTGTCCGGGAACAGTACAGTCCACCTCAGCTAACATCTTCATGTTTGTTACGTCCCTTAAATTGTCAGTGTGTCTCCAAAGACTGGAATATGGATGCTCAATTCCATTAACTTTGGCCACACTCTCAGTTCATTGTGTGGGCAACGTGGGGAATTCCACTGACTTAATCTGGTGAAAATATACACCCACCTCCTCCGCTGGGAGCATGGAAATGAGTGTTTGCTGCCCAGCCACGTGGATGAGCTCATGTGAAAACACCATCACATGGACACATGTGCTCAGGGATGCTCCATCATGGGACCTGTCACATTGATAGCAAGAGCTGGAGGTTCCTCTGGCTCTAGTCCTGGGGGTTTTCCAGATGCCTTTGTCCCATCTGGGTCACCAAAAACTGATGCCTTGTGAAGGCTGACCTAGAGCAGGGGCTGGACAGAGCTGAAGAATAAATCAGGGATTTATTAAAAAGCCTTAATGGATGCACCTTGGGCAGCACAAGAGCCCAGTCAGGGCTGCACCCAAGATGAACCGAAATGGCCCCAAAATGCACGACCGGGCACGGGGTCTGTCCCTGGGATCAGTTCTGCTCCATTTGCACCTTGCAGTTCATTGTCCCATTCCAGCTTTAGCCCAGGCAGTCCCACCCTGCTTGTTTTTCTCTCTCCAGCCCACGGGGTTTGTGCTCTCGGGCTGAGATTGTGATCATTTGTTGCCAAACTAGAGCAGGAATTGTTTTGTCTCCCTGCTCTGTGCACAGAGTTCACCATCCCCTAAAATGAAGCCCAGACCCACACACTAAAGCAGCACCGAATGTGAAAAATATCAAAGCTAAAACCTGAGGCATCAGCGTGACATGCAACACTTCTTCCATCCAATATCATGGAGCTGACCTTTGTTAAAGAAGTAAATAATCCCACAAGTTTCATCAAGCAAAACACATTGCTGAGCATGAGTTTTGGATGGAATGCCATCTTTTGTCACCTAATTAATGAGTAAGGAGCATACTGCTGGTGCATCACAGGGTGATTCATCAGAGTTGTTTGCTGGGTCCACAGCATCCTTTTAAAAATATTGAGGTATATCATGTTAGCTAATGATCCTGATAATCAGCAAAGTGTGTTTGTGTCAACTTCAAGACAAAATAAAGCCCTCCCACAGCTGACCCAAGCTCACCACAACCCCAGAAGGCAGCTGAAGTGATTTGACAAAAGACTAGTTTGTGTGGAGTTATTCTTTATGGGAGAATGAGATTCAGTCCTTTTCAGATAATCTGATTTAAATGGGATGATAAATCAGATACCCTCTGCAGGTGTTCAGAGGGTCTCTGGGGATGGGAGCTGTGAGAGGCAGCCACAGAGCTCTCTGCAGTCAGGGAGAATTGTGAGATTTTCACTGCTGGACTTAATTTAACATTTATATACAATATCACCTTAGCTCAATTCACAGCGCTCCTTTGATACAAACTGCTCTGCTTCCTGAAGTTTAACAATTCAATTCTGAACTCAGTGTAAATCAAGTAAGAAGTCTGTCAAATTTATCATAAAGAGATAAATTAAAATGACCTCGTTGCAAGGCATGTCTCTTCTACACTGTCAAGAATTCCAAAAGCCACGTTGTGGTTCTCTTGTACAAAGCTTTTTATCTTGGATTTCTTTCATGTCTGATATTCTGTTGCCAAATCAATTAAGCCAGGTGATTGATGTTGCAGTCGAGATACATTCTCAAAGCTGGTATTTTATCATTCACATCAAAAAACACCCTGGCAGTATTTCTGAGATTTGTTGACCTTTTGCCCATGTAAACAATTAATATGTAAACTATAAAAGAGATCATTAGAAATTTTACTGACTGTGTATTCTTGATTTATTGCAAAACTGATATTAATTTGCTGTGGTTGCCTGAATAGATTCTGGTTACCCAGTGGCAAAGAAAAAAAAAAAAAAAAAAAAAAGAAAGAGTTTCCCATTTCAAAGGCCATAAAGAAAGTAACCAAAACCAGGAGAGTCTGCCTCAGGTAGAGGCCTGGACTGGATTTTGTGCTGACATCACAGCAAATCCATTTTTAAAATATTCTTCTATTATTTAAAAGGCATTTACTTATCTGATTGGAATGAAGATTTATGTCGAGGGCTCTTCTGAAACAATACTGGGAGAGCTGGGGGTGAAGAGAAGGCTCCAGGGAAAGATCAGAGCCCCTTCCAGGCCCTAAAGGGGCTCCAGGAGAGCTGGAGAAGACCCATGGCTGGGGAGTTGGAACTTGGTGATCTTTTAGGTCCCTTAAAGCCCAAGCCAGTTTGTGATTCTATATTAAAACAGCCTAGAACAGTCAGAATCCATGGAAATATTCCCAAAACTGAAATGGACAGCTTTTTCACACAAAGAAACCCAAACCAGAACAAAATAAACAAACAGAATAAAAAAAAAAAAAAAAGAAAAAAAAAACACCCCAAGCAAATCAATAAAACAAAAAGCCAGAAAACACAACCCCCCCAAAAAAATTCAAAGCAACTGGAAATTAAAAACAGCAACAACAACAACAAAAACATAAAAAAACTCGACAAAAAACCCAAAAAGCCCCAAACCAAACCAAACAAAAGCCAAAAAACAAACAAACAAAAAAACCACAAAAATCCCTCATACAAACAAATACAAAAAAAAAAAGAAAGAGAAAGAAAACCCCTCACAACACAAATAAATGCAGTTGAAAGATATATACAGCATGCATTATTGTGATTTTCAGCTAGAGACTGCATACTGGAAAATGTAGGAATTTGAGACATTAGACCCAATATGTGTTACTGCCTGCCACCCAAGTAGCTGAAAGAACAGAGATCCAACCAGGAAAATTCATGTTTGAAGCAACAAAGAGTTCAGATTTAAGGGTTTGATTTGCATGTGGTTTATATTCTGAGGATCATTAACTCCACCAGACATAACTAAAATCCTTGCACTCCAAGAATAAAGGTTATTAATCAAACAAACTTAATAACGTAAACAAGCCCTTCCCAGGGTTTTTCTGAGTTCTCTGCTTTCTTCCTCCACAACATGGATGGCCTGTGATACCCACATGTGCTGCACAAACGTGTTGGGAAACTGCACAGGCCCTGAGGCAGATTTCCATTCCACCTTGAGCCATCATGCCAGCTGTCCACTGGACAGAGCCTTTTTCCCGTGGTGCCACAGCTGGAAAGGCTAGTGACCACACATTTCTGGCCAGTTGACCTGATGCATAATCTCTACCAGCAAAATTCAGTATACAGTCAAGGAATCTCCTGAGCTGGAAGGGACCCATGATAATTAACAAGTCAAAACCTTGTCCGTGCACAGACACCTCAAAATCCCACCCTGGGCATCCCTGGAGTGTTTCCCAAACTCTCCTGGCGCTCTGGCAGCCTTCAGGAGCCATTCTCTGGGGAGCCTGGGCAGTGCCCAGCACCCTCTGGGGAAGAACCTTTCCCTGAGCTCCATCCCAAATCCCTGGCCCAGCTCCAGCCCTTCCCTCAGGTGCTGCCAGTGTCACAGGGATCAGGGATCAGGGATCAGAGATGATCAGAGCTGCCCTTCCTCTCCCTCTCACGGGGAGCTGTGGCTGTGATGGGTCTGCCCTCAGCCTCCCTTCTCCACCTGAGCACACCAAGGGCCCTCAGCGCTCCTCACACGGCCCCTCCACACCATTCACCATCCCCACGGCCTTCTCTGCACTCTCTGACAGTTTAATGCCTTTTTTATGTTGTGATGCCAGAACTGCACCCAATATTCGAGGTGAGGCCGGCCCGGCCCAGCGCAGAGCAGGACAATCCCTGCCTGGCCATGCTGGGCCTGGTGTCCCCAGGACAGGGATGTC